GATCTTTGTTTACAAGTACAGCCCAAAAGGGAAAAAAATGAAAATGGATAAATGACCAACATCTGATTGGCAGTTTGGTCAATGGCAATTGAGAATCCTTACTGTCATAATGGAAACAAATTGTTGAAGACCATCTATTCTTTTCCTTTCTGGTTATGTTAGATAAATCCATGTGTATTTTAACTTCCTTATGTTGTTTCGAAGTAGATTCAGAATCACCAAGGCATTTTACACCAGTTGATTACATGGAAACTCCAGAAGAAATTATCCGTAGACGGCATGATGATAAAGAGGTAATGTCCTCCTTTATGGCCTAATAATGGTTGTAACAGGTCTACATATAAGGCTGAATGCTGTATTTCTTCTATAAGGACAGTTTCTATGTCCATGGCTATGTATATTGCAAGTTAGAGCAACAAGCGGGAACTATTATGTTTTAATTTTAATACTATCTCTGCCACTGATGTAATGTGTAGTCCAGGTTATCTTTTGTTTAAAATGGACCTGAGAGTTCTTATCAATTGTATGAAATTATGTATGGGGGCTTTAAAGAATGTAAAAAGGTTGGAGATGTATGTGAGATGTGGTACAACACCCCAGTACTTGCAGATAAGGATGAAATGGTTATTCTATAAGTGTTCTCCAAGCAAGCCACTTGAGTTGGTATTAATCAGACTGGTGAGAACAGTATTTTTCTTGTGGGCGTCCTCAGGTTTTGGACAGCGAATGTAAGATATTTTAAGCTATCATTAAGTGTGAAGTTTTCCTGCAGTGCAAACTAGAATTCTTTATGATGTCTCAAGTTGTTGATGAGAGAATGTAGCAGTTGTTTTCGAAATGGCTGGGCAACACTGGGACAAGCCAAAATAGTAGGAAAGCCACATAAAATTTTCAGCACTGATTGTGTTCAAGCTGAGTTAAAGACAACATAAAATGAATGCTTTCCAGAAAGCTGTTAATTTTCACTGCCTGAGGGAAAAAAAAAATATTCTATTTTTAGTGTTGACTTTTTGAGTTAAAATAATGTTTATGTGTGCTTTGAAATATGGTGAAACCTGCTCTTAATTCCTATGTGAAAAATATATTTTTGCTGTCTTCTCTTGTGAAACAGTTAGTAATCCTCCCACTTCCAAAACCCAGCATGAAAACTTATGTAAGAGCAAAACTCTCATTCACTAAAGCCTACTGGCTTCAAATGAGTTAGCACAGAGCTAACTTCAGCCTATAGTCAGTCCCAAAAGGTGGAAGAATCCTTCTGCCCAAGTACTCAAGAATGCACATTTCTGTTAGTGTGCCAGAGGCTTCAGAAGTCCAAAATAATTCCAAAATGGAGTTTATTTATTTTACAAAGTGTATTACATGAGCCCAAAGGAAGCATGGGAGAACCTGATACCTGAAGGTGGTTAGGCACTCTCCCAAGCTCCTTGCAAAGCTCAGGGGAGTTTGATGCCTCAGAACTTACCTGTGGAGCTGATTCAGGTCTCTTGGAAGTCAATGAGAGAAACTCCTTGTTGGAAGGGGCTTTGGATCAGCCCTCCGCATTATCGGCAATCTTCTTAGAAGCTCCCAGGACCTGGCCAAAACTTAGAAAAACTCCTCATTGACTTCCATCAGCTTTGGATCAGATCCTCTGTATGAGCTGGATTTCTGTTATGCCATAATGGTGATGTACTTTCTGTGCTTGCAAAACGGAAGGGTATCGTGTAGTTAGTAGGATCAGTATTTTATGTTGAAATGTAAAATCCTAGCTATTTGCTGGGACCTCAGAAATTTTATTTAAGTCACATTGATGGCAGCTTTTGAAATGCCCTTAACTGGATGATTTACTGCCCATTTTATGCAATTTTATGGCAGAAACTTTTAGAGGACCAGAGACGGCTTAAACGTGAGCAAGAAGAAGCTGATATTGCAGCTAGAAGGCACACAGGGGTTATTCCAACGCACCATCAGTTTATCACTAATGAGCGATTTGGGGACCTCCTAAATATAGACGATACAGCAAAGAGGAAATCTGGGTCAGAGGTCTGTTTTAGTTACCTCAGTCTGCTGCTTGACCCAAAGCAATATTTGCCTCTCACAATGTTGTGCTTTAGGCCGACATTAGCTCTTCAGAGAATGTCGTTTGTTTTTTTTCCACCTTCCCCTTTCCCATTCTGGCTTCATTTAGATCTGCTTTGACTCTTGTGCCTGGTAAATTAATTGGTATCTCTATACCAAGCTGCATATGTTAAAGCATGCCTGCTGAGAATTGCTGGTGCACACCTGTGATGCATGCCTTTAAATATCAGCTACTTTTAGTGAATCAAAGGCATTCTACATCTTCTGCATCATATTGCTACATTGTCTTCTTGTCTGTGCCTTACCCTTAGAAATTTCATGTCTTGTTGATCCTGGCCATGTGACTCTCTCATAGTTGGGTTTTTTAGAAACAGATTGTTTCTTCTCCTCTTGAAAGATGCTTAATGCCCTTTAGAAACAATTGGAAGAAGTCTCAGCATGTTCACTGCCTACGACCTGGTCGGTCTTTCTGAAAGAGGCAAAGAAGGAGGTAAACAGTTTTCCCAGGAGCCCAAGGCACTTTTCCCGAGGGCTGGATGCTAGTCCAGGTGTCCTGGCCAAATGCCATTTCCTGCCTTAGGGATTGCTGCTGGGCCTCTTAGCAGCCGCTCTGTTTCCCCAGAGGTGCTGCACCGTGACACTGGGTGAGATGGCCACCACATGGACGGAGTAGATTTGTCTGCCCTTTGTTTATGGAGTTTCAGATGCTCTGGTGTCACATGGATGTGACTAATTATTTTATGTTCTAGTACTGAAATGACTTTAAAATTGTCTAAATATTTTGTGGCCATTAGAAAATCAGCCAAGTAAATAAAGTGTTAAAGCCTAGGGCTGCTGTCAATGTCCTCTTTGGCTTTATAGCCACTAAATACATTTTTTTAGACATGTACTCAATTTATTCATATTTCCTCCTCACCTTTGTCTCTTTCCTACCAATTTATACAGTGCACTTGGGTCACATTGCAGGATTCAGCAGGGCCAGGTAATAATAAGAACCACATCAAAAAAATCCTACCGTTGTTTTTCCCAGCTAGTAAATTTTGCTTTTCCATTCACATGTTAAGGGAAATTTGGTCTTGGAGCCCCAGTAACTGTAGTTACTGAAGCATGTTTCATTCAACAGGGTTTGTCACATTTCAAAGTTTACTGCTGTTAAATCCATTTCCTGTAGAGCCTTTAATTACTGTTACACCAGAACTTGTCACTTTTTGCCCTGGTGGGAAAGACCCATCCAGCATATTTGGACTGTAGTGTCAGTTGCATACAAGCTTGTAGCAGAATACCTGCTTTCAATTTCCTCCCCAGACTAATGGTAGCTATAGAAGGGTTTGGGTGCTTTTTCTCAGAAGTGGGTTGAAAACCTAATTTTTTTTTTTAACGTGTTGATTTTTTTGATCTCTAGATGAGACCTGCTAGAGCCAAGTTTGACTTTAAAGCACAGACGCTGAAGTGAGTACAGTTTGTTACTACTGCCTTGAGTGTTCTTCCTCTGCCTTTTCCCCTAGAATGCAGCACTTAGGAAGTGGTGTGCAATTGGATTCATGTTTTGGGAGTGCCTTTCCAGCAACTCAGAGCAAGGTGTCCGTAGTAAAGCAGGGAAAATCAGTATGAATCTTGCAGATTGTAACCTGTAAAGGACCTTTAAGAAAGGTGCATCTGTATCCTATGTGATTTTTGGAGAAAACCCACCTTCTTTACTGGAACAAGTGAGCATTCTGCTCTGAGGATGGATGGAGCCATGGGAGAGTGCTCTTGCTGATGTTCCTCTTCCCGCCTTGTAAGCAGGACGGCTGGGTGAGACCTTTCTGTTGCTGCCTTTGCTGGAGACAGAAAGGATTCCTCAGTGTAACATCCCTGGTTGTGCTCCAATTTAGGAGCTGGAAGAACTGTGTTAGTCAGTAACTCACTCTGTAAATCTGCCATACAGATGGTCAGAAGAACATAGATATGCAGAACAGCAGCATCCTTTTTACTGTGCTAAGCAAAGCCCAAAGTCAGCAAGGGACTTAAACAGATGCCTAGCTTTAAGGATGTAGGTGAGCCCTTGACTCAGGGTTTTCCTGATTCAGGATCTATAAGGGTACAGAGTGGTCACTGCTCCCCTGGCACCTGTGGGTACACCAGCAGAAGTTTCTGATGGCATTGTCATACCTCCAAGCCCTGTTGTGGTCCCTCGGGTGAATCACACAGCACTACTCATTCTTTTTGGGGAACGCTGCTGTGAAGAGAAGGCCTGGAAGGCCTTTCCTTCTGCATGAACATGGAGAAATTTTAACATTGCTAGGGAGGGAAGAAAGAAGAACAGAATTCAGTGAAGGACCTGCTGTTTTCCTTCTCAGGTGCTAATGTCCTGGCAATATTTTGTTATATGTTCTGTAGGTGATGATTTGTAATGATTTACACAGCGTCTCCCCAGCACCTGTAATAAAACTGAGGCAGATTAAGGAGTAACTGTTGTGTCACTTGAGCAGAGCATACCAGGGTGCCAGACAAAAGTAGAGGAGAGCTTGTGAAAATTGTGTTAGGAAAGGCTAGGTTGGTTGTTTTCCTGTGGGGACCCAAGTAGTAGGTTTATGAGCCTAGTACAAGCTGCTCACAGTGGGAGTTCCTCCACCTGCAGACATTAATAATTTTAGCACTGTAGAGTGAAATCCCAATTGTTAGTCCAGTTGAGGCCAGTGGTTGCACAACTACAGGCTGACCAGATATGTAATCATTGCAGGATCAACATTGGCGTGTGAGGCGGTTCATCTAATTGGCAAACTAGCTTACATTAAAATCATGTGTCTCTTTGGATGGCACTCATGACATGACCTGTTTCAAAACAGGAATTGAGCACTGCTCACTACATCCAACATGGAAAGCAACCAGTGGCATCTTTTGCTTGAGTTTGACCCCATTTCTGCTGGAGGGTGTATGGTTAGTAGGGCCCTCATAGGCCGGATTTTTTGACAGGATGCCCAAAGAACAAGAGAGTTCCTGCACATCACGATATGAACAGGGTAATTCTCAACATGAAGCTTTCACTTTGGATGGAGCATGATTTGTGTCAACAGGGCTGATGCAGACCTTGGTACCTAGGGATTGCTGGACAGAAAAAGAACATGTCTATTCTCCAGTGAAGTTCTGATGGAGTGCTTGTGTTGTTAACAGGGAGCTTCCTCTGCAAAAAGGAGATATTGTTTACATTTACAAGCAAATTGACCAGAACTGGTATGAAGGTGAACACCATGGCAGAGTTGGCATCTTCCCACGATCATACATAGAGGTAGTTACTTTCCTTGCAGGTGTCGTCTTTGCCCCCTCCCTTTCTGCCAGTGACCAGTTTATGGGCTTTTTGTCTGTGATATATTTGATTCTGTTTGTTCATTCTAGCTCCTCCCACCAGCTGAGAAAGCTCAGCCCAAAAAGCCATCACCATTGCAAGTATTGGAATATGGAGATGCTGTTGCTAAGTTCAACTTCAATGGGGATACCCAAGTGGAAATGTCCTTCAGAAAGGTAGGACTTTTGTTGTGCTGATGAATTGAATCCAGGCAAATGATGAAATTTTCTAACACTATGTCGTGGTTTAGCCCCAGCCGGCAACTAAACACCATGCAGCTGCTCGCTCACTCCCCCCTCCTCCAGTGGAACAGGGGAGAGAATTGGGAAAAAACTCGTGAGTTGAGATAGAAACAGTTTAATAGGACAGCAAGAGAGAAGGAAACAATAATGTTAACAACAATAATAATACCGACAAAGGAATGTACAAGAACAAGTGATGCCTGATACAGCAATTGCTCACCACCCAGTGATAGATAGCCCTTCCCCGAGCAGCGATTCCCACCCCCCAGCTAACTCCAGTTTATGTGCTGGGCATGACATTATACGGTAGGGAATATCTCTTTGGCCAGCCTGGGTCAGCTGTCCTGGCTGTGTCCCCTCCCAGCTTCCCGAGCACCCCCAGCCTCCTTGCTAGCAGGCCAGCACGAGAAGCTGGACTGTCCTTGACTACTTAGCAACAGCTCAAAACATCAGCACGTTATCAACAGTTTCTCATCCCAAATCCAAAACATAGCCTTACGCTAACTGCTGTGAAAAAAAAACAACTCTATCCTGGCTGAAACCAGGACACACTACTAACTTGCAATTTCCAAATTAAAGCTCCAATAAGACAGCCTCCATATTCTGGAAGAATTCCTTCTCATTCCCCATGTTTTTACTGCATAGTCATTATGTAGTGCATTGCAGTGAGAGTGGTGCTGGTCGGCTAACTCAGGAAGTGCCAACTGCTTTCTTAGGGCTAGCTGAGAAGATAATTTGAGCACAAGTGTTGGAAGTTTGGCCCTGCAAGGCAAATTAGATATTCGGTGACCTGTTTCCAGTGTGATCCTCTCCAGTGGAGATGTACGCAGTCACATGAGAATGGCAATGCAGAAAAGAAGGAAACTGGGTTCACCCTCCTTCGTACTACACGCCAAATCATTGAGCACAGGCAAGCAAGGTTCTGTGGTATTGAAGTGACTGGCTAGACCTGACTGCAGAGTAAAGGAATAAGAATGGGTTGTGTAATGGCTGTTCAGAGCAAAGTCAGCCATATTTAGATTAAGTAGCAGCATTTATCCATCTCAGCCATGTTTCTGTGTTGATGCTCAGATTAGATCATCTGTCTTCTCTTTTAATTATACATGAAGGTGGGGCTTGCAGTTTATATTAAGGATCTGGAAGTCACTTCAGTTGTCAGAAAAATAGGAGAGAGCATAGAGAGACCTAGTTTGAACTGCAGACTTGTGCATACTCCCTGTACACCTCATATCCCTGAGAGTCTCATGGTCAGCCTGAAAGTGCTGTTTGCCATTTTTTAAACTGGATTTAGCAAGTAGGGTCTTGAAAATGTGAGCATAACTGAGTGAGCATAACTGAATCTGCAGACAGCCCAAGTCAGCACCAGAAATTCTGCATTTCTTCCTTCTCTGAACAGAAAAATATCATTCCCACCCAGAGGTTAGGGTCAGGACCCCATAACTGGGAAATAGAGGAGGCTGAGGGCCACCAATTGTTTTAAGTCAGCTGCAGCAAGATTAAAAATGTAATCTGCTTTGGAATGACGAAATATGTTGAAGTCAGGACTACATTACTATTCCGTCCCATAGGGTGAAAGGATCACGTTGATTCGACGAGTGGATGAGAACTGGTATGAAGGAAAAATCTCTGGCACCAATCGCCAAGGCATCTTCCCCGTCACTTACGTAGAGGTGCTCAAACGGCCAGTGGTCAAGAATGCCATCGACTATCCTGACCCACCAATGTCCCTGTCCCCTAACCGCAGCATGACAGCTTCACCACAGGTATTTGGACTAGATGCAGCCAGTTACAGCATCTTGCAGAACAGAGGGATGTTGCCATTGCTGTGCAAGAAGCAAGTAGCTGAAAAAAGCTGTAGCTAAGACTAGTGTTTTGAGCAGTAGAAGCCCTGTGCTCCCTGCAGTATGCTGCAACTGCAGGAAAAGGTGATGTTTCATTTACCAGAAATGAACGGGTCATTTGGGGATTTGGAGACTCAGCTTTTCATCTCTGATCTGTAGCTTGAATTCAGACCAGGTTGAAAAGGCTACAGTTCACAGCTATCTGAATAAATTTCACTGCCAGAGATGGAATGAATTGGTGATCCAGCTCTTCCTGAGTGTGTGTTTACACTTTACAGACCTCCATTGTGATGAGTGAATTTTTTATTATGACGATTGCAAGGGTGTCACAGACTGTTATTGTCTGTAGGAGTCATTATGTTGATCCCAGTCAGCTTGAATCAAGCTGTATGCTTACTCCTAAATGTTCCAGGTCACGACCAAGGTTTTGGGAGATGGGGTCAGGAGAGCAGCCTGTATTATTTGAAATTGGTGCTAAATGAACTTGGGTTTTGAGAGCAGGCCAGTCTGGGATCTTTTGTGAGTATCAGATTCACTATACAGAACCATACTGCAGTTCAAACCAGAAATCAAAATGGCAGCAGGTAATTGTATGGGGATCCCAGAATGTTTACCATCGAAAACATATCGGGGGGGCAGTGAGTCTCTAAATCCCTTTGGTTTGCTCTCATTCTGCAATTGCTCATGCTTGAGGGTCAGCATACGTGTCTGGGTCATGGCCATGAGGTTCTGGTGCATCCCCCTCTCACCAGCAGGACCAAAGCAAGGTCATTCTGAGGTCAAGGCTGCAAGGAACAAAAATGGAGAATTGGAATTGGGAGGAAGGGATATACAGTACAGGACAGATGGGAAAGGCTGCTATGGCTCTTCCCTAAAAGGAGTGTTTTTATTCTTAGCCACTGTCTAAAGAGGAAAGACTTGTTTGTTTGGGGTTCCCTGTCAAAGTGGATCTCAGCTGAGCTTTTCTGTTTGAGGTTGGCAGTCTCTCCACAGCTGTGGCCTGTCTGCTACCAGCTCTCTGCAAGCTTCTCCCTTTGATGGAAGGGATTGTATCCACCCTTTTTTGGCTTCCTTTGCTATTCTTTTGATTCATCCTCTAGTAAATCAATTCTCTCCCTTACTTTTTTGCCTAACTTGGCAGAGGACTGAGAAATGCTCTGATCAGTGCTAATGTAGCTGACCTCACTGACATTGCTGGTGGTAATAGCTAAGGGCAGAACTTGGTTGTGTGTTCTGCCTTTATAAACATAGGACCTGCTTTAATCACCTAAAGACCAAATAGCCACAGCTGGTGCTTTTGATTCCTTTCTCCTCCACAGCTCCAGCAATGCAAGTTTCTAGAGGAGCAGGCATTGCTCATGCTAGAGTTGGATAAAGTCAGAATTCATTGCAGCAGTGAATTCTGACTGAGTCAATAGTTTGAGTTGATGGGGCCGCAGCTATTACTGCCAGGCCAGTCAAATGTTGCACGCTGCTGTCATGGATGGTGGCTTCAACTGCTCCCTGAGGGACTTAGGGCATATGGTATGAAGTGTAAGGTCTTCCACAAGACATTTTGTGTCTGAGATCCTGGCAAAAGCTGGAGAAGGGTATTAGCTGCACAGATACAGACTGGACTCCATGGTTGGAGTAGCTGTGGACTGCATGTTCTCCTACATGGTGCATCCGTCTGTGGAAAACTTATGCACCATGCTTGGTCACAAGTCTGCTCCTCTCCACACTCACTCTCTCTCCTTTTACTTTTGTATTTTTTATTTTGTATTTTCCTTTAGTATTATTTTGTTCATTTCTTTCTTTTTCTCTCCTGCTTTTGTCTCCTTCAAGTCTCCCAGCTCTGAGCTGCTCCATACACCAACTCCTCCGCCTTTGCCTTTTGCGCGCCGCGCCTTATCTCCAGAGGTGCAGGCGGTCACATCTGAGTGGATCGCTCTGACTGTGGGAGTGTCTCCTAGCACCACTCCTGCCATAACTCCTCCATTGCCTCCTCCGCCTGAAGCCTCCCTCCCTCACACTGACTATCTCTCGCCTTCTGCTGCAGCCAGCCCTTCCCCCTCGGTCAGCCTCCACCATTCTCATCTCTCTGGCTCCTCGACTCCCAGGTCCATTAAATCCCCGTTGCCCTCTTACTCATCCAGACCTCAGTCCTCCGCTCGCAGTTTCGATCAGGCCGCTCCGCAAAGCGAAGAAAAGTTTATTGGCTCCCCTTCTCCCAGCATGAGCTACTCTAACTCCCCTTGCTGGGCGGTGCAGAGCCCCGAAAGCGTCCTCGCAGAGCAGCGTGACACCACTGGCAGCCAAGCCTGGCTCCAGAAGACTAGAGAGGGCAGCAGCAACCCCGAGCAGGGTGCTCATGCTGTTCCCAAGATCTCTGTTGAGCACTGCCTGAAACCATCCCAACTAGACATGCATGTGAGCCCAGAAAAGAGACCTGTGGGTTCCTCTGAGGACAACCAGTTGTGTCAGGAGCTAATGGCTATTGTGCAGGGAGGTAAAACAGAGAAAAGAGGCATGATGAGAGGTGATCTGGGAAAGTTTCAAAGCGGGGAAAAGAAGGTACTTCTCCTGCATGTGTGTGTGCTGCTCTGAATCCCTGGGTTTAACTGGTGTGTTGAGGTTTGTGCTGCTCTGCTGGCCAGGCAGAGCCAGTGGCTGCCACATGTCATTTTGATGATCCTAAGACCTTCTTCCAGGGGTTACCAGTGGCATTCACTGGATAACAGATCAAAAAGTTTTAGAAGAGGACTCAGGAGCAGTGTAGTGAAAATTATTTTAGAATAGATAATAACACAGGACTGACTGTGTTGGTCACATCTAATGAAGTGATTGTCCCAAATACTGTCTGTTACAAGATGTGTCAGATGAAAGAATCACACGGGCCTCGTGCCCTTATACCTCACTGTGTAGAATACAGGCAATTCCTTCCTATTCAGAGGTTTTTCCATTGTGCAATGGATCATCTTTGGTGATAGGATTTATTTGTTCCTCCTAAAGCCAAGGAGTGAAAAGCATTGTAAACATCAGCCTAGCTCCTAGAATCACAAAGGCTGTCCCCTGTTGATCCTGGAGCCTGTGGTTTAGCGAACCTTAGTCTGCGATGTACGTGACTAAGTCAGGGAAGCTTGATTGTTATCTATGCATCGAGTGGAATTTATAACCGTTACATTTCCAAAATTATGTGAAGGGGACTAGCCACAAATGACAATTAGACCTAGTGATATTTTCCCCAAGAGTTTTTAGTTATATGTAGCTGTATGTTACAATGAGAAGGAACATGGGGGAACCCTCCTGTAGCTTCTACAACATAGCTTCTACCCCCAGTTTTGATGTAGGAGAGCTGCCTTACTTTGCAGCTCTCAGCTGATTTGGAGTCCGTTGTGGGCTACAGCCAGTCAAAATACGTTACAGCACCCCCATGCTACCTTGTGTAAGAGTGGAAGAGAGCTCAAAATCGTAACATCATAAATACTGTCTTGGATGCACTGCGATAGCCTCCATGACATATCCCATCTAGCAAATGTTAGATAATGAGGAACTAGTGTTTCAAAGATGACACATTTCACACTGGGAAATTTTATGACAGATTGTTTGATTTCTGCTTGAATCATAACCAGTAGTGTATTGAAAGCTGTGTAAAGACTGTGCTGTTTACCATCTGGATATATTTTTAGTAGCATTTTTTACAGGGATAATCTGCATGTTTAAAACAGAATGAGGTGGTCAGCTCAGACAAACCAACTGGAAACTGCACTTGCCCTTGCATGGAGTTCTGTGTGCTGTGTGTGCATCAAATTTACTGGATAGTAGATGCTCTTACCACTAGCAGTGATTGTGATAAGAGAGTGTGTGCCAAGCTGACCAACTTTTCTTTTCTTCAAAAGACTGCAGACTCAAAAGCATTCTCTTCATCTGCTCCTCTCTCTTCCTCTGCCCTCCCTTCCTCTACTGTCACCACACAGCCACCTCCCAGACTTACACGCAGAGTCAATAAGCCACAGGTAATCATCTTTGACGATTACTCTTCCATTACTTAGACTTGTTTCCATGCCATGCCATTGTTTTGTCATATGCTTGTTTAGCTATTCATTGATTCCACAGGTGAGATATTTCTCCTGTCACTTAATTCAGAATTTTTATTTAAAAAAAAAAAATTTAAAATTACTTCCAGGCTGTGCTGAAGGGTAGGTATGGGCAAAATCTTCAGCTGGTGGAAGCCCGCATAGCTCAAGTCTGGGTTTCTGCCAGTTTGTACCAGCTGAAGAGCTGATTTTCTGTTCCTCCAAAGGATTAAACCCAGGGCTTACTTAGTTCTGACCTTGAGTTCCTACAGGTCAGTTGCATTATAAGGCAGTATCGGTGGCCTTGTTAGCAGGCATGATGGAG